GGGTCTTGATTACTGTTGTTTTACAGTAAGTTTTGAAATCAGGAAGTATAAGTCCTCCAACTTTGACCTTCTTTTTTTAAAATTGCTTTGGTTATACGGGGTTCCTTAAGTTTTCATATGAATTGTAGCATGAGCTTGTCAGTTTCTACAAAGAAGACAGCTGGGATTCTGATCAGAATTGCATTGAATATGTAGATTGATTTGGGAATTATTGCTATCTTAATAATATTACTTTTTCTTATCCATGAACATAGAATGTCTTTTCATTATTTAGATCTTCTTTAATTTCAACAATGTTTTATAGTTTTTCGTGAGTAACTTTGTACTTCATTTGGTAAATTTATTCCTAAGTATTTTATCCTTTTTAATACTATGGTAAATGAAATTTTTTAATTTCATTTTCAGATTCCTCATTGCAATTTATTTTTTGAAGAAACCAGGTTGTTTTTCTGTACTTTTTCACACACTCACACACACAGACACACACACACACACACACACACACACACCCTGACCCCAAGTCTGGATTTGTTGCTTCATCCCTGTAATATTATTTAACGTTGCTGTCCCCTGTATTTTCCTTAAAAAAAAAAAAAAAAAAGAGTAATTATATCTAGAGGCTTGATCAAATTGAAGTTCCATTTTTTGGAAAAAGGTCTTCATAGGTGCTGCTGAGTTTTTCCGTCAATAAAAATGGTTATCATTCTTTTGTAATGTTTGCAGACATTGATGATTATTGCCTAGATCCATTAATTCATTAGATGTTGCAAAATTCTGTCTTTCCTTCTTAATTTATTAGCTGGAAATCGTCTATAAAACAACGTTTTCCTTACCAACTATTTTGCTACACTGAGGAACAATTTGTATAGGAAAGGCCGGATAGATGTTTGACTCATTCCCTTTATTTACTAGTTTCAAAATAATGAGCTAGTTTCCTAGCATTCTCCAACGTTGACCAATTAGATTTTTAGGTATCATTATCAACTCAAATAGTTCAACATATTTGAAACATTTCAATCCATTGTAGTTATTACCTTTATTGATTCTCAAATTGTCCCATCTTTTGCCAATGAGAGCCCCTTCAAGTTGGTTCTGAAGTCCTTCTGACACAACCCTAGTAGTATTTGTTAGCTTCCTTCCTATCTGGTGTGACAAGATATTCCAGGTTCATCTTGGACATTTCCTGTTATCGATGTGGCATCAGCCATTTTTCTAAGGAACCCTGATTCCTTTTATTGGGAAATTGTATTTAGAACCTCAATCTCGGCACTAGAAGTTCCCTTTGGCACTGGGTTTTTCATTGTTTCTAGGCGTTTTCAATGGATGGAGCTAGAAAATACATTTGTTTTAAACATAATGAAATTGAGTCCATACTGATACTTTCAATAATTGGATGATCTTAAGGGATATTTCCTTCAGGCTATGGAAAAACCTGAAAAGTATCCCTATTCCACAAGACTATCCATATCTCAAGTAAAATAGTTGTGTCACTAGAAACAGTGACTTGCTTTTGGACAATGACGGATAAATATTGACAAATTCTTACTGCCCAGTTTACTTTTCATATACCTGTAACTACCATGTTTTCTGAATCAAAAATCAGATGTTAAGTATCTGATAAGTATCATTATACATATGGGGCAACAGAACAAAATATTTGAAATCAGAACTACCTGGAAAATATGGACTGTACAGTTGTCATATAAATACTCTAGGCCAAGAATAGCAAACACACCGCCTCGTCTATGGCAGACATTTGCCTTGATATCCTTCACAGTACACTTCTCCAGGAAGCCACTACAAATCAATCTGCATCGCCATGCAGGTTGACATCTACTGCCACCCATGTTCAAGCCAAACCAGTGTCTTTCTGTTACCACTTTATGACCTTGTATAATTGATTAGGACAGCAGTTGCCAAACTGGGTTCTGAGGTACAATAGTCCTGTTAATAGGTCACAAAAGTTTGGGAAAAGTTGGGTTTTACAAAAACAAACAAACAACAGTTTCCTTTTCTGAAGGACTCCAAGAGCCTTTTAATGTGCCATATACATTGTGAATCTCCAGGAAGGGAAACAGTATGCCATGTTTATTAGTTTATTTGACCCTGGAACGCTTCTGTTCATAAGTATCCTGCTAACGTGAATAAGGCTTTTTTTTTTTTTTTTTAACATTAATCACATTCTATTTATGTCTTCTTGAAGCCCAGGTCAATGTATTTCAAACTGACTCAGGATTGGGGATTTTTGGAGATAATTAATCTCATTCATTGAATGTTGATTTGTGTGTGTCATTCTCAGAAGGTAACCTTATCTCTAGTATCTTAAGGTAATCTTGGTGTAGTTATAGCCTCCTATCTACTGACCACACTATGATTCTATTTTCGTTAGAAAACTGTGTATGTGTGTGTGTAACTGTGTTGCAAATATATTTTATTATTTCATTATTCACGAACCATGTTGTGGTTTGACAGACCTCAGTAATGGATTTTTTTGGAATAGTCCCATTTGAGAGCCACAAAATCACCCACAGTTGTTATTTTGAAACGTTGTGCTGTTCTCTCACAACTAGTTGTAGTTATGTTGCTGCTATTCTGGGCAGATGTTGTTTTTCAAGTGGCCTCTAGAGACTTTTAATATAGAATTTGCAGTTAGGAGTCTTTGTGCTAACACAGGATTTTGCTTACCCCCAAGGATTCCAACGTTCTTCAAATGTGTGATACCTTCAGCAGTTATAAGATCCTGACTACAGAACTGAGTATCCAAGTCTAGAAATTCAAAGGCCCTTAAAACTTGCAAATAAGTTTGGAGGATTTTCAGAGATGATCGAAGTGTTGGAAAATTGTATCTATGAAGAAAGGACCAAGAAAAAAGCATCTAGATTATTAAACCTAGAGATGAGAGACTCTAACATGAAGGACTGTTATTTAGAGCAGTCCACAAGACAATTTATTGGGATGCAGAAAGAAAATATTGGAACATCAACATACTGATGTTTTCTCATTCTTTTTCAATTTCCATGTTGGAGTGTTTTTATGGTGGATAGCATATATAAACACATTAGTACATTTATGTAATCTATAAATACGTATGGTGACCCCATGTGTTACAGAGTCGAACTGCTCCATAGGGTTTTCTGGGCTGTAATCTTCCATGGAGCCACTGGGCGGGTTTAAACTGCCAACCTTTAGGTTAGCAGCCTATCGCAAACCACTTGTGCCACACAGGCTCCTCATATACATATAATGAGGTGCATGCTCAAAGGTTTTCTTTTTCTTACAGATAAGGATGTGCAAGTTAAAACTTGATTTAGAGGATTGTATGCATCTCTTCTCCATAAGGAAAGAGAGTTTTAGTGTAGGGGCTGAGATATGGGGTGGGTTTAAATAGGAGCACAAGGAATTCAGTTAGATCGTTTCATTTCATTTAAAAATAACAATTATTATTGATGGTACAGCATTCATTCATATTCGACAAATATTTTCTGAGCATGTCTTATGTTCCAGGCATTGCCCTAGGCTCTGAGAATATAATGGCGATCCAAAACCGTCACAGTCCTTGATGCGATAGTGCAATATAGTTTAGTGGGGAAGACAGCTGTCAAGCAAATAATCTTGTTGTTGTTAGGTGCCGTTGAGTCAGCTCCGACTCCTAGCGACCCTGTGAACAACAGAATGAAACACTGCCCGGTCCTGTGCCATCCTCACAATCGTTGTTGAAGACACTGTGTCAATCCATCCTGTTGAGGGTTTTCCTCTTTTTTTGCTGACCCTCTACTTTACCAAGCACGATAATCATACATTTAAATATATAATCATAAATGGATAAGTGTTATAAAAGAAAAGTACAACAGGTAATAGAAAGCTACGAGAGAATAAGTTGGGGCACATTCTCTATTCTGGGGGTATGGGGAAAGGTTACCCTGAGGAAGTGACATTTAAGCTGGGGCCTGAGGGTGTGATTGAGTAGCTGACTTGCGAAGAGATAGAGGGAGAGTGGCCTAGAAGAAGGGAGGGCAGGTGTGAGGGCCCCTAGGGGGCACATGCTGAGTGAGGGCAGTACTACACAGGCACAGGTTTTCAGACCTGGGAGAAGCTTCAGAGATGAATCTGCCTGAAAGAGAGATGAAGTGCAGGCCAAACGACCCCAGGAGCTGCCTCTTCCTCTGATTCCAGGAAAGAATCACAAACCAGGTGGAGGTACCAGAGAGCCACAGGAGGCAACAAGAAGGGACTGGCTGGGAGGCTAGGCACAATTGGAAAATCCTGAATTCTACTCCAGCACAACAATTCCAGGAAGCTTGGATAACGCTCCCTGTAGGAGTCCTGGTGGCGCAGTTGTTAAGAGCTACAGCTGCTAACCAAAAGGTCGTTGCTCCCTGGAAACCCTATGGGGCAGTTCTACTCTGTCCTATCAGGTTGCTGTGAGTTGGAATTGACTGGATGGCAACGGTTTTTTTTTTTTTTTTACGGGTAGCCCTCTAGAACAGTAACCGGTCAGGGTAAAGGGCAGTATGTCTTCCATGCCTGAGCTACAGATGTGAACATTTCCATTTGAATTGCTATGAGAACATTATGAGCAGTAGTCTTCTAGAAGGCCTGGTAATGTGTTGTGATCATGTATTTTCCTGAGTTATTCAAAACAAGAGGGTGTGTGTGCTATCCCCCTTGGCAAAAGTATAGGGTCTAGAGGTAGGGTGAAAGAGGCAGGTCAGAGGATAATTGCAGTAAAGAGAGCTGTGGCCAGCCCTGGCTGAGGGCAGGCCCCAGACTGCAGAGGAGCTACATGGGAGAACAATATTTGACGCTCCATTGTCACTGTGCCTCCTAACCGACTAGGAGATGGGAGGAGGACAAGGGAGACCAGGGTTGGACACGCAGAGCGAAAGAAGAGTGAGGGAGCCAGGGAGCGCCCTCGACGTGGAAGGGCAGGAGGGGGCGACACGGGGTCCCCGGCGCCAAGAAAGGGGCACGAGGAGGCGGCGCGGGCCCCGCCCCCTCCTCTGGCGGGCGCGGGCGCGAGACGCTGCGCGGCGGCAGCGGCAGCGGCGGGCGCGAGCGGCAGCTGTCAGGCCACCGAGGTCCAAGCTGCACTTGCTGCCCCGTTGAGGACGAGGCGGCAGCGGGAGCTGTGACGGTGTCGCAGAGGAACCGGATCCCAGGTACGCAGAGCCGACCTACCTGGCACCCGCAGCCCTTTCCTGTCTCTCTCCCATTCTATTGGGTAAGGTGCCTGTGCGCGGGCAGGGAGAGGGGCAAGGGGCCGGCGGACCCAGGAGGCCGAGCGGTGGGGGGGCCTGTGGGAAGAGGGAGAAGGGGAGCTCTAGGTGGCCCCCGGGGCCACTTGCACCTTGAGAAACGGGCCTAGGCGCTGCCGAGGTTGGATCTGGGTTGTGGGGGTAGGTGATGGTAAAGGGGGGCGTTGCTGAGTAATCCAGAGCAGCTGCCAAAGCCGGGCAGAGAGGCGCAGGGCTCCGTGGGGAGCGGGTGTGGCTCAGTGCGCATGCGCGACAGCCGACTCGCTCTAAGAGCTGGGGGTGCAGTGGGTCCGAGGTAGTTGGGTTTGTGGATAGCATCTCACTTTCTAGGTCCCCTGTGGTAACAGTGCCCCTGTCACAGAGATGCCAGCATTCCTGGTCTCCTCAGAAAGCTTCTCTTTCCTGTGCCCTCCTAGCCTAATGTCATCCAAACCTTATCTACCTGTTTGTCTTCAGGTAGTCTCCCAAGGAAGAAGTGGCCTGGGAGCAGTGTCAATTTGCTGTCTAGCGTGCCATTGGGCTCATAGGCTTAGAGCTGTTGTTCTGAGGAGTGAAGGGTTAGAAGTGAAATTCCACATTGGACCCTTCAAGTTGCATATAGTATATAAAGGTGGGCATAGATGTGGGTATATCGTTCCAGTGGCATGACAGCTGTGGGATTTGGACTCATAGCATGGATGTGGCTATTAACTTGTTAGAATCCAGTGCGTCAGAGGGCTTCCCTGACACTAACCCTCCCAGCCATCAAACATCAGGTTGTATTGGAAACAACCTACACCACTTAAGTTAGAGCATCTCAAAGGTACAGTCATTTCTTATTTGTGTTAATTTTTAAATAGACTGAAGAAAGCCCCACCCAGTTCTCCAGTGTAGTGTTTCCAAATATTGTGCCAGCATTCAGCAGTGAGTTGAATGAGCCCAACCAGTGTGTCACCACAAGATGGGCTTTCCCAACAGCTCCACCAGTGGTTCCTCCTCTGTGCGGACTGCCACCAGGGCCACTCTCACCCACTGACTAGCCCTACTGCTCTTCTCCCATCCACTCCTGCAGTACTCATCCCTCTCAAGACTTGCTCTCAACCTGTACTACTGATTTTGAGCATCATTCCACCCATAGCAACCAAACTGATGTTACCAATTTTCTTTTCTGTCTCTCTTCTTTCCATCATCACACTAAAATGTACTATTTTCAAAGACTCAACCTCTTTCTTTTCATGGTACTGCCTCTTTCCGCACCCCCACTCCCAGCATCCTCCAACCAAATACAATGATTTTAATCAGCTTATGTGGGTGCAGGCAGAGCAGATTCAGAAGGTTTCATATGTGTTGAAGAACAAAGAAAGATGGGGAGCACTGGTTATGTGAATTCTTAATTCACTTTACTGACCAAGACTGAGAACCCTAATTGGAAAAAAGAAAAGTGAATAAACGATCCTTAGAAAATGTTTGTTAATCTATTTGGGAGAGAGATAGGAACGAGAAAAGGCATCTCTAGGATATTTGAGTCAGTTAAAGCCATCTCTTCCTCTGAATCGGACCAAAATCAGAATAAGCATTTCGGTCCAAATCTTAACTTGATATAGGACCCATACAATATGCATAAAGGATTTGACTTTCCTATTAAGTGTATTTAGGGTTATTAAGAATTCCTTTGCCTGCTTCATGCTACCTTGTATAAGGTTTGGCTTAAATTTAGCATATTCTGGGAAAGGAAAAAAATAGTTTTATTTGCTTTTATACTGTGCTAGTTCTTTTTAATTTAAGTATGTCCTAAAGGACATCATACTCATTTTCAAAGATGATGAATGATAGTGGGGATGCCAGCACCTACTGAAAACAAAGTGCAGGTAATTAGTTTGCTCTTGTTTTTCAGTGCTAATGGAAGAATGTATATTTTTTTAAAAAATTAAAGGTAAGGGGAGTGAAACCGGAGTATTTCCACTAACTTTCAACAGGTGGCATTCCTGTTAAGTACCATCTGGAAAATGATCCAGATAAGTCTGTAACCTTTTGCTCTTTAGTCACCTTATAAATAATAGTATTTGGACATATTATAGAACTGTGGATCTATTGTACCTTGGCACCAATTCGAAGGCATTAATTCCAGGCACCTACCTAATCAGTCAATTCATCAACAAATATTTATTGATTGTCTCTATGGAGGACCCTGGTGCTGCATGCCACGGGGCTTCAAAGACGTATACAAACAGGGACCTTACTATCCAGGAATTTAAAATCCGGTTGTGTAGGAAAGACAGACTTAGAAAAAGATTGCTAACAAAATAAGACAGTATAATGATACGATTTCAACTGTAAACCATGAGAGCTTAAGCTTATATGTTGGTCTCTAAACTACTTAAAGGAAAGACCTTGTCTTAAACACTTATGTATTTCCAACAGTGTCTACACCCAGTGAGTGTTCAAGTAGTGAAGTTTTGCAAATTAGATTGGGTGGAGAGAGACCAGAGGCCGAGAGAGAACAGCTAGGAAGCTTTCACAATAGACTAGATGTGAGGAGATGTGGGCCAAGATGAGGATGATAGCAGAGGACTAGAAAAGGATATGCAGAGCAAAAATCAGCAGGATTTAGTGACTGGAGGCAAGGAGACAAGCCTAGACTGTATTCATTTCTACCTCTAGCAAAACAAATGGGAGTTAGAGACAGCAGAGGAGAGTGGAGGGTCTTCTCAGTGAGGACACAGCACACAGTAGGCACTCACATGTATGCTCAAGCATCAGTAACAGGATTGGACCAGACAACCCTTAAGGTCCCTCCAACACTGAGATTCTGTGCCATATCCAGATGCTCAAGATTGTTGGGGAGCAAGGCATTCTCAGATATTGAAGAAAGAAATGGAAGAATTGTTATCCTCTCACTGGCAGGCCCTTTCTGAGCAGGGTTAATACAGGGTCACAAGGCCTGCACCCATGAATGAAAGGACGTGTAAGAACGAGAGGAATAAAAATCTCAAACCAGGTTTTTCAAGAAATGCTTACAAATCTTTGCAAACTTCTTAAATTATTCTTCTTCCTCTAAATCCTAGGAGTTAAATAGAATAGGTATTATCAGCTGTATTTTTATATTGGAAGATATTGAAATACAAAAAGATTAAATGACCTGCCCAAGTTCATAAAATAAATGAATGGTGTCGCAGTGATGAAGACCCTGGTGTCCTGATTGCTGCCAGCCCAGAGCTCTTGACACTAAAGCACATTGCTCTTCCTCCCTTTTCCCTGGTATAGAGTCTGTGTATCCAGAAGTTATGCGTGCACATGACCAAATAAGGATTGCACGAGCAACTGCAGCATTATCTCAGTTAGTTATTAATACTACATCATTATTCCTGGAGCTGAGCATTTGGTTTCCATATTCACTCAGTCCTTGACCCGTCTCTTGAGTTGATCCACAGCTGGGAAAATAGGGTTAGTGAGTCGTTTAATGATGCAAACACCTGTTTGCTGGAAACTTAAAGAAGCTCATTTGGCACGGGCCCTTAATACTAACCATCAGTACTGTGCCCAAGTTTATACTTCCTTTTGTTACTTTTTTAAGGGAGAGTTCAAGAGTTCGGCTCTGTAAAATTATCCCACACACCAGTATAAAAAAAATAAAGAAGTGTGCTAACACTTGTTTCATCTCCATCTAAAGAAATGTTTGTTTACTTGAGCTATTTCCAAAGACAGCAATTTGACAAAAAAAGAGAACACAAAGCTGGAGTAATAGGAAACTTGAAAATTCTGTGGAGTAGATATAGACCAAGAAGGAGGATAAAACCTATCAATATATTTAAAGTCATAATTACTGATTTAGCTCTCGAATGAGTCTCTTATTATATGCTTTATATCTGACAAAATTTAACATGAGATTGTTATGCAGCAGAGATTTTTTTTTAAGTTTCTTTATTCTTTAACGGGAAAGAACACTCGACAGATCTAGAAACTATTTTTCCTTTTAGTACTCTTGATGCTTCTTCAATAAGACCCTTGCCATAATTAAGTCTAATATTAAATGAAGATGTGTCTAAATTTAGTAAATTTAATAAATCCAGCTGAACACTAAAGCCTGCATTAAAGACAGATGACCTAAATTAATAAGTAAAATAATTAGCAGAGAGAATATATGTGTAAACAAGGAGTCCCCAATCATAATTTTTCTTCTCTGATCTTGTGGAATCAATTGCAGAGACAGCCTTGAGGCAGACTGATGAGTGCCCTAATACCTTTCTTGGAGATAGGAACTTGGATAGGTATAAAAGGAAGGAGTTTCATCTCTGGTTTAGGACTTCAACATACCTTAGATTCCTCTATGCTTTCCCTTTCGTGAATATCATCTATTGAGAATATCAACTATTTTCTTTGATTTATTATCAACTATTTTCTTTGATTTTTTCAATGGAGAGACAATATAAAATTTAAAAACTGTATAAAGTACACTCAAGTTAGGATAAGTTAAAGTTCTTGCAATAGAATTCTTTTGCCCATGTTAGGCATTTGTAGCATTTTGAACTCTTAAGTATGTTTGTGAAAAGCATCCTCTGTATGTAAGTTGAGGTTCCTCTGTTTTCTTTTCTGACTTGAGTGTATTTGTGTGTATCTATATCTATATATATACATATGTAGCCTTAGCTTTGTTTTATTACGTATATTTTAAAATAACGTTTCACAATCTGTCTTTTAGAACCCTAAAAAGAAAGAATAAAACAACAGGAAAAAGAAAAGACTAAAATTGTGATAAAGACCTAACTAGGTAGGTATTTCATGGGGATAAACTATAAATTTTTATATATATTTTTTTCATTTACCCTCTTAAAAATGAGTAAGTAGAAAAAAATTATACTAAGTACATGTACACACCAGAATTATTTTAAGGCCTGTTGTTGTTAGGTGCCATCAAGTCTAAATCAACTCATAGCGACCTCGGGTAGAGTAGAACTGCCCCATAGGGTTTCCTAGGTTGTAATCTTTACGGAAGCAGATCACCAGGTTTTTCTCCTGGGGAGCCACTGAGAGGGTTCAAACTGCCAGCCTTTTGGTTAGCGGCCGAGCGCTTAACCATTGCACCACCAGGGCTCCTTACTTTAAGTCCTACTGGGTTTTAAAAAATTCTTTTACAAATATGTGTGCCTCAGAAGCACTTTTTCATGGGCTCCTTTCATTAATGATTACCTTTTCATCCCTCTGGGTCTCTTGCATAAATAATCATTGTTGAGTTCCCACAGTGGACCTAGTGTGAAAGTACTTAACAGAAATCTCACACAAGGTAGTTGCTCGGTAAACATCTGATCTTTTTATTTTAAGATACACTGTAGGCATTCCATGTGTAGACATGCTATGGAGGTAACAAGAAGGGTGCTGTATAATTATTAGCACTTTAGAGTTTACAGTATGTTTTCATATATTGCTATTATGGAATTAGAACCTAAATCTCAAAATTAATAAGTTATTCAAGATTTTCTTCCTTGATAATAGCTGTTACATTGGTAGCAGTTAACTGTCATCAACTTAAGCGCCATTATTCCATGAAGAAAAGATTATGGAAGATTCTTTACTTATAAGGCTGTCCTATATCAATGAAAGTATAATGGGTCAAATGCCTAGAGAAACTTGACCTTTTTATCCCTCCGGATTCTGGAATCCAGCCTAATTGTGGTCTTGGTCTCTACTGACAGAATCAAGAATCCAGCTCATGCAGTTTTCTGTCCTCAGTAATTCCTGGGTCCATTTAGGAGAGGACTTGAAACCCCAAATCATTTCCATACAATTTGCCTCTTGTTTGGAACTGTTCAAACCAGAAGCTAATATGGATACCCATTCAAGTGGCATTCCCGTTCTAGGCTTTCACCCCTAGAATAGGGTCAGAACTGAACCAAATTACAGCACCATCTGCTAGTCCGTTTACCTATGGCATTCAGCCATTTTCCTGGCACAGGCAAGAGACCTCAAAAAAGCAAAACCTTTTTCTCCCTTGTGCAAAAAGTTTTATTCCTTCTGCTGTACTGTACCAATCAATGAGCATGAATCAAGAGAAGTTAAATTAGAAGCCCTCTTATAATTCAGAGAAATTTGCTACGAAGTTGATTTCAGTTTTAGGTTTAACCGTTTTCCCTCCTACTTTTTCTTTTATTTTCAGGTTCTCTTGGTTACAAACTCCTCCCCGTCTGGTACTGCAACAATGAGTGGGAAATCCCTGCTCTTAAAGGTCATTCTCTTGGGTGATGGTGGAGTTGGGAAAAGCTCCCTTATGAACCGTTATGTAACCAATAAATTTGACTCCCAAGCTTTTCACACCATAGGGGTAGAGTTTTTAAACCGCGATCTGGAAGTAGATGGACGCTTTGTAACCCTCCAGATCTGGGACACTGCAGGGCAGGAACGTTTCAAGAGCCTTAGGACGCCCTTCTACAGGGGAGCAGACTGCTGCCTCTTGACCTTCAGTGTGGATGACCGGCAGAGCTTCGAGAACCTCGGCAACTGGCAGAAAGAATTCATCTACTATGCAGATGTGAAGGACCCTGAGCACTTCCCCTTTGTAGTTCTGGGTAACAAGGTAGACAAAGAGGATAGGCAAGTGACTACTGAGGAGGCGCAAGCCTGGTGCATGGAGAATGGGGATTACCCTTATCTAGAAACAAGTGCCAAAGATGATACTAATGTGACAGTGGCCTTTGAAGAAGCTGTCAGGCAGGTGTTGGCTGTAGAGGAACAGCTGGAGCATTGCATGTTAGGTCATACCATAGACTTGAACAGTGGCTCCAAAGCAGGATCTTCATGTTGTTAAAAGTAGGGAGCCTTTTAAAAGTGTGCCCTAAATTGGTCAGTTGGTAGTGTAAGAATAACCGTGCCCCTCGGAGGGTGCACACACACACAAAAGGGTAAGAGACAAGGTTGTGATTGTGAATCAGGGCCTTTCGAATAGAAGTTGTAGAACGATTAAAAAAAAAAAAAGCTTTACCAAGCCAAGTGCATTTTGTGTGATTTCTGCTATTTCCCCTTCTGTGTGCATCAGGACATTTCAGAAAGCTTTAGTCCTGAGAGATTTAAATATTTTTCAAATCACAATGTAAACCCAGAACCCAGCCACATGAAGGAGTTAAAGAAAGAGCTATGGCCATCCCTTAAAGCGTTCCATTAACCAACTAACAAATGTCACCATCAGACTATTGCCAAGCAGTTTCTGACATTTCTGCCAAAAGGAAAAAAATAAGACTCTGGGCTGTATTACAATAAAAAATACAAATGCAAACAAGGATATCCGAAGCTTGAATTATAAAGAGGCTGTAATGATTAGGAATGCAAAAGTTTAATAATGTACACTGCCTTGTTTAAATCCTTATGGATTGTTTGCTCCCTCTTGAAGCTTTTCAAAAAATACCACCTCAATAATAGACACACTAATGACACTGGAAATTCATTATACTCCTTGTGTTTGAAGTGACAGGGTACTAGTGAATGAATTACGCTTAAATATGCCAACCACTTGCAAATAAATGGTTGGTCTGCTTTTACTTCGTAAGTCTACTTTTGCTGCGTAGAGATGTTGCTTCTCTGACAACCTCTTATCAATTTAGCAGTGATGCTTAGTATATGGCTTTGGGTGCAGTGCTCTCTGCTCATAATTTAGATGGTCCTTTGGACCACCGGGCTGGGCTCACAGAGGAGGCTTCAGAAAAGATTGGGGAATAATGGGCTTTTTTCACAAGGTTCCTTAACTTGAATATTTATTGTAGAAGAAGGAACAGCTTTCTTGTATGTTGCACTGTATGTTCAGCCAGCCAAATTAGGACAATAAAAGTGACAAGAGAGCAGACTTTAACCCAGTGTTAGAATGAACTTTCTCCTAATTACAGTTGTCCAACAGTAGAATGGACTGCCTTAATCGTGAGCTCACCTCCATTGGAAATATTCAAGAAAAAGCTGGATGACCATCTGTTAAAATGCCATAAAAAGAATTTCTGTACTGGCTAGATGTTTGGTCTAAGATCCCTTCCAGCTCTAAGTTCTATGACTCTATAAACTACATTTCAGTGCCATGTTATAGTTTGATCTAAAGATAACAACTAAGACGATGGAGAGAGACTTTAAAAATTCTCACTCTATTCTGTGATTAGCCTTTAACTTAGAGCTGGAAGGGATCTTAGTATTGTGGCAGGAAAAATTCTCGAGCTCTGAGTAACTCTTATGTGCCCTGATATAAACATCCTAAAGAAAACATGTTAAAATGCAAAAACGTTTTGTCAGTTTTTGATTACCACGACTGCCAGTTATATACTGTATTATGAATATGCAGTCTAGTTCCTGTTGGTGGATGTTTGTCCTGCATAGCTTTTAATCTATACTTTATAACATCTATGATAAAAATAGTAACCCAAGGTGGTGAGGGACATTTAGAAATGACCCCCAAAAGAGACCTAGGCCAGGGAGGGGGTGGGGCTTTTCACAGGAATACAGCCTAGAACTCTCCATTGTAGCCGCATATGGAATCAGCCTTACATGTGGGACCTTATGTGCTTTAAGAGCTAGGGACTTTCTGGCCACATAGACAAGTGGAGGAAGGTATTTCAACCCAGTGATACCCAGTTATTTCCAATTAAGATATAGTCCTGACCCCATTGTCCAATTAACTTTGATGCCAGAAGTCAAAGCCAGAACTGGGACCCCACAGCTCTTAATAGAGGTCCCCATCCTGCCTATGCCTGTAGCCAGCCACACTGGTTTCCAAGTTGTATGATCATCTTGCTACAATCATGTTACAGTGAAAATCTGTACATTGCTGTAGTCAGAACTGTTAAATGCTAGTTGTTTTTAAGTGCATGAGACCTGAGGCCTTCTCTTTCTACTTGCACTCTGCTTACAATAGTTTCTATTTGTAGATCTCAGGCCTTCATAAAGACCTCCATCAACTCACAAAAGTACTTGTCTCTATTAGAGTAGCATGTGGTCATTAGAGTAAAACATCACATGCGTATCCCATTCATAGGCCTTCTGTCCATCTAAGACAAGTGTTAATTTTATTGGCAGGTCAACTGAAGCCCCTTTCCCCTTAGCCATACCAAATTTTTTGTCTGCCAGATCACTCCACAATATCTTAACGAAAGCACTGAACATTAAGTGACAAAAACAGTGGCATTTTGGTGAGTAACACTCCAGTGGGGTGCTGACGTATAGTTTGGGTTAGATTACAAAACACCAAAGGCTGAAATCTGTGAGCACCAGGAACTGTGCATATAGGTTTAGAATTGACTGCGTACCCTAGAATGTGCACTGCAATGTTTTCAGTGGGTGTTTTTTTTAAAGGAACGCTAGATTTTTTGAATGAGATATTTCTAATTAGAACTATATTCTGTTTTTCAATGGTCCATTTAAACATCATACAGAAGATTTATTTTCATGCATTGGGCTAACATTCAGGGGGCCTCTGATTCCACATGTCTTCAGTGGATTGATGAATTTCAGGTTAATTTGTGCCTGCCTCAGCCATCTCTTCTTTATTCTGAGGTATACCACAATCCTCTTGTTGCAGGTGCTGCTAAAAATCTCAAACTTGTGTATCAGATATTTTGTTTCAACTGTTAAAAATCATCTGTGTTAAAGTGAATAAAAAGTGCATTTTGAATAACTGGTATTCAATGTCTGTGCATCTTTTCCTCCTTTTCTCCTTTTGAGCAGCTATTGGGTGTGAGAGACAATACTTATCAATCAGGTACTGTTTCTAGCTGTGCTGGATGTGGCCTTGGGATTATTTTTCGAGTGGCACTCCAGGCAGCCACTACCTAGCAATCAAGACAGAAACTACTGATTGGAAAGCAAACTCAAAAGATCAGGGTGGGAAGGATCCTTTTCTTTTATGCATGAAGAGTATTGGGATTTTGACTCTCCACATTATTTCTTTATTATAATTTAAAACAAAATATTAAACCACCACAAAAAAATAAAAAGAATATACATATTCCTTTTATTTTCTTGACTAGTGAATTGTTCATAGCTTAGGAAAACATGAAAATATGGGTGAAACAGATCAGAAAACAGGATAATTTTGTTAAATAGTCTGTTCTCTTGCTCCTCACACATTGGATTTTAAAGATACTTGCATTATCCTAGAATGACTTGGATATACATAATGGTGACTTTTAAACTGTGCCCACAAGTCTCTCCACAGAACGTAAGTTCATTACCTTGATTCCATCTGCCACAGATTGAGCCTCCCTCTATTTTCCCCTCTTGGAACTTTGGGCACTTGAAATCGCAGGAAAACAACCCAGATTTTTGTCACGTGTAACATTTCTATCTCTGAAGATTATCATTTAACACATTATCGGACTATATTTCAAATACAGGGCCCCAAGTCCTTCTGATTAGGCTATAATTATGCAACTCTTAGGCTGTAGGAGGTCAAAGATTTATAAGCCTCTTAAAAAGAATTTCCTTATCCCAAACTGATACTTTAACAGCAGAAAACTAGCTTTCTGCCTTTGCTGTTGTTCTGTCTAATTCATCTCCCACCAGGAAATCTCCTTCTCTTGATGTCTTGAGAAATAGTTTAGATTCTCATTTTTTTAAAACAGTTTGGTTGTGGTCCTTCCAGAAAATGGAGGGTGTGGCCTAGATGGTTTCTGTTCAATTCTGTAGTTGAATTTTTAAAACATACTGGGAAATTGAGGCACTGGTTTGAGTAATTTCAGGAGAGAGTTGGGGTGGACATCTCTGCTTTCATTTGAATTACCTAAAGTAGTTCTAACTGTAGCTTTTTTTTTTTTTTTTTTTACCTTAGTGATCCAGATAATCACTACACTTTTTCCTCCCTTTGCTATGAAGAGTAGGGATTCCTGACGGTGGAGTGCTTTTCTTACACTTAATTTTAAGGCAGGTAAACCGTGACACACCTTTTAATAAAATGCTAATATATGTGTACGGTTTAGGGTATTCACTAATGTTCCCTTTTTCCAAACTGGCCTCTTTAATTTCCTCAAGTTACCATTACCAATAGAGTCCTCATTCTTTACTCCTTTTTCTTTAAGAGAGGTAATAGAAACTAGACATGTTTACAGAATGAAAACAAGGCTATTAAATGTCCCCTTATTGATATGCTTGCAAAAACTGGTGAGGAAGGATCTGCGATTTTTTCTGGCGGCAGTACATATGGGTTTTTTAGGGGGTGGGGGTTACTTAATGTTTTCCCAGTGAGAATAAGAGTCTTTACAGCTCAAGATGTGAAGGAGTTGTCACCTTTAGACATATAGGAACTGCTGCAGTCCTCTCTGTGTCTTTATAAATCACTTTGTCTTCTCCAAGATAACATAGAGACTTATCGTTCAGCCATAGAAGTGTCTTTTTAAATGGTGGGTTTTGTGTGTGCAAGCATGTGAGTAATCCATCAGTTCCTGTCATGCTCTATAAAATTACAGGTAAATGTGTAATGAGTGTCACCAGCACTCCTGAATTTTAACCAGACATGCCAAGCTGCGCTTCTTCTACTCGATTGATTGACTGATTGATACAAAGGAATTAGAAAACGCTGCCTTAATGAGAGAAATAGCTCTTAATTCAGCATGAGCTGTACTGATTAAAGTAAAAATACAAAGCATGCCTTCCTGTGGTGCATTCTTGAGGAAGCAAGAGGCAGGCTCCTATTTTCTCTTTTCCCTTACATTACTCTTTGTTGCCTTAGAAACAACATACCCAAAGATGTGTCCTGTAATATATTGCTCAACGTAGACTCTGCTGATAGATGAACAGGTGTTGATAGCCTTTGAATCTTTTCTTTTTCCATTTGTTCCCAGCTAGAGAGTTTAGAATCATCAGTAAACACTAAACATTTGTGTTTTTTTTTCTATGATTACACAAGTAATGATAAAAAAGATGGTAGGAAAACTAGGGAACAAAAGAAACAGAAAAGCAAGATGAAGAAAATAAAAGTCATCTGTTATCCTAGTGTCCTGAGATAACCAGATTTTAACTTTTTAGTGTGTTTTTCAATGTGTTTATGTATAAAGAAAATTGATGTCATACTGCACACATGGATTGCAATCTTCTTTTTTCACTTAAGACATAAACCAAAAAAAAAAAACTATCCATCAAGTCGATGCCAACTCATAGTGACCCTACACAGTGAACGTTTTTCTAAGTTTTATATATATATATATATTTTACTAAGGATCACATTTAATACTTGTAAAACATTCCATTCAAGGATTCACCATCAAACTCTTACTGCGAGACATATTTTTTCCAACTGTCTCCTTCTACAAAATAAAGCAGCAGTGAAGGTCCCTAATATTAATCTTAATTCACATCTCGATTTATTTTCTATAAGTGAAATTTCTGGGCTGAAAAGTATGAATATTTTTATGGCTTTTAATATATATTGGGGAACTGTCCTCTAGAAAGTTGTCCCAAATTACATCAACACCAGTAGATTAAGAGGAGGCCAATTTTTCCAAACACTCATCCATATGGAATATTATCTTCCTTTTTAACCACATTTGCCCAATTTGATAGAAGAAAAATGATCTCGTGTTTTGATTGCTTTTCTTTAATGTTTTAATTGAGAGCAAATAATTCATATATTTATTAACCATTTTTATTTCTTTCTGTGCAAATAGCCCATTCTGATTCTTAGCCCATTTGGGGTGGGGAACATTGATATCTTCTTGATATCTAGGAACTCTTTTTTATATTATAGACGCTAACTTTTGATTTTATCCATATTGCTGGTTTTCTCCTCCCTCCCACCCCACATCTCTTGCCTTTTCATTTTGTTTATGGTATTTTTTTTACATACTGACAGATTCTTGAAAGGGTCAGTTCTGAAAAAATAGAAAACTAGAGTGAGTCGGGGAGAGAGAAATGTCTATTTGATCTGTCCTTTGTTTTTGATCACATTTAAGACCATATGTAGTTATTTTTGTTTAGAAAGGTTATGAGTTTAAGTTTGTGTCAATATCATAGAAGAATTGGTAGAAAGCAAAGTATTCATCCATTTATTTTCTTTTATTTTATCTGCATGATGTCAAATGGCTGGTTTGATTTGGGTTTTTTATTGTTGTTGCTGTTGTTTTCGGTAATTTTTTTTTTTTTTTTTAATTGAACAGACTATTCTGAAGTCACAGTAACATTATTTTGAAGTCATACTAACAGTTCAGCTTTCACCCACAAGGGGGAAATGAAGACCAGTTAGTGTTCTGCCATAGACCAAACTCAGACTACAGACCGTCAGAAGCGAAGTAGGGGAGGTGGGAGGGGAGGGGGCTGGAAATCATCCATCTGCTCCACTCTTCCCTTATTTTGTATATGGGAAACCTGAAGTCTGCAGGTGCTAAGCGACTTGTTCAAGGTCACAGAGCTAGCTATTAGAAAGCTGTCTTCTAGGCCATTTCCAGTTTGCCATATTGAGATTTAGTTAAATTGACGCAAACAGTGAAACATACATTTTCTTAATTAAAAATTTCTTTTGCCTTTTTTATTGAGGTAAAATTCATATCACATAAAATCAGCCATTTTTAAATGTACAGGTCAGTGATATTTAGTATATTCATAGGGTTGTAAACACATGTATTTTCATCTCCTGGATTCAGATCCCAGTCTCGCTACAAAATGGATGTGTTGTTACCATAGGCTAGTTGTGTAACCTTGCTGAGCCTCAGTTTCTTCAGCTTGTATAAGTGAGACAATGATTTCTTCCTTTCAGAGTTGTTGTGAGAATTACCAGAAATAATGTGCATAAGTGCCTAGCAACGTGCTTGGCAGAGTAAATAAGAAATACATCCTTTCTTTCCTTCAAGATTTTGATCTGTTACTCCCCGTCTAGTATTAGTATATTTATTGCACATTAAGAATAAAACTTAATAGATTCCGGAGTAGATGTTTTTCCATCCTCTTGACTCTTACTGTATTATTCATGTTGAATTTTAAGTGTGCTCAGAGGTTAAAATTATTAAAAAAGAACTTCACAAACATAAGCTCTTGTGACATAGTTGGCAAAGGATTGTAGTGTTTAATAGATGCAAAGTCCTCTATTTAAAAAAAAACAACAAGTCTTAGGGGAATTTTGAAAAAAGGGGAGATGATTGCAGTTTAGGAATGAGTCGCACAAAGTGTGGTGATGTGTGTCCCACTTTAGGTCAAATGTTGGAATAGGCTCTAAGGTAATATAGTCCAATCCCCCCTCTTTATAGATTAAGAAAACCGAGGAACTGAGAAGTTAAGCAAATTCCTGAAGACCATATAACCAGTCAGTGACAGACCAGGCCTTAGAACCCTCATCTTCTGCTTCCAAATCCAGTACAGTTTTCAGCTCACTCACTGTCTGGAGCCAATGTAATTGGAGAGATGCAGAAGAGATAGGGATGGGGAGGAAATGAAACCGGAGAGGCGAAGAAAGCAAGGGTAAGGCTCTAATCGGAACAGGGTTTAGCCTTCAGATAGTGGAAGGGGCAGAAGCAAAGACTAGGAAGCAGCTCTTGTCTGGGAGGAATTTCCTCAGAGCCAGTCATGTCCTTATTATTCCTCTTAAGGAAATAACCCTAGGAACTACTGAGAAGGTATGCCTCCCCAATAGCCTTTGCCTTATTGAATAAGTAAAACTACTGAAAATTGTTGTTGATATCAAAACTGTTGCTTT